TTAGAGTATTTAAAACTCCAGACCCTGCGTAAGAGAAGGCATTGCAGTGATGCACTGTTCCTTGCGCAGGTTTACCGCGGTTTTAAATGCTGTCCTTCCCTTCTGGAAGCTGTCGGTCTCCGCATCCCTGCTCGGAATCTGAGAGATTTTTCTATGTTCAGTTTTAGCCCCTTGTTCAAAAACAGTTCTTCTGCTAGATGCGCATCAGCTGCTAATGTTGTCTGCAGGGATTTGGACATATTCGAGACGAAAATTGTCACACTTAATCATATTCTATAATAGCATAATTTACTTAATTGATTCATGTTATTTTACAAATATCCTAATGTAGTTAGTAGTAATTTTCTGTGTACTTTCCGTATCAATGTATTTTATATATTGCTTGTTTTACCTTTTATGTTTTACTGTGTTTGTGAGTTTATCTCTGTGCTGTATCTGTAATTGGCCACCAGGCTGTTGATACAGCACACAAATAATAAAGAATTGAATTGAATTGAAATAATAAAGATGTTAATTTTGTTTCGTATCGTTCCTATGTAACAGAGGTTCCCGAAATATTTCAGTCTGAGACTTTCTTGATGTGAATAAGTTTAAGATGACTTAAAATGTGGCTTAGAAATGTAAAAAATAATTATTAATGGATTTAGAGTTATTTATGAAGTATTTTAAATGATATCAGATTATGTTTCGTGGCCTTTCTTCTTATCATTTTGTATATACTTTAATTAGACCATTGCCAGTTCTCCAATAAAGTTCCACAACCCCTTTTGGAACCAAGGCTTCTACTTAGGGAAACTACACCACCGAATTTTTGTGAAGCTTAAGTCGAATTTTATCAATTTTTTTAAAAACGTTTAATCAGATAAAACATTTGTATGTGATACAAAATACAGACCTCATTTTCTTCAACAACTTTTGCTGTATTTGTAACACGTCTTACTAATTCATATCGTTTTTGTCTAGCACATTCTTGCATTTGGTGAATAGTTGACTGGGGAAACAAAATGTTTCAGTTAAACATCGGGTTAAAATTGTATGCTGAGATATTACAGTCGATCGATAATCTACATCCAAAATTTTCCAATTTTTTGTTATTATTCTAGTATGGGAAGAATGGATTAAGTATCGTAATTATTTAATTGGAAACATTATACAAAACTATTACTGCTTGTTATTAATACTTAATTATTAATTAATAAGAATGTGCACAAAACAATTCTCTCGATATAGGTTGCAACACTTTGTAATGAGATAAATGGTATTTTCTAAGCACCTGGCAAAATGCTAGTTGTTTGATTATACAGTGGAATCGGTATGGATTGTTGTCTTCTGAATTATGGCGCTGTATAGTTGTGTAGTGGTTACCAACATTTCGGAGTGACTAATAGCCACCAAGTTAAAAGCAGTTATACCCTGAACATGGAGGCAGTGAGTTTGTAACCTCCTACAAGACTACACGGCTTCATGACCGAGAAGAATACAATCGAAATTTCTGCCTCTTGTAAAAACGTCGAAGCGATATTTTTAAGTATTAATTCTGTAACTTATACTAGAATTGTCTCATAAACATTCAAGTAATGATAACAATTGCATCTTTATGAAGGAGAAAAACAGACTGTAACTGGCTGGGTACTTGAATTATTTGTTATGCCTGGGTATCTTATCTGAATTATGAGGGCACAATGCAAAGGTGGGTTTGAGAGCTGGGTCATTCACACTCACGTTCCAGTATCGCCTAGCCCAGAGGTTCCCCCCTTAAAACATTTCATAAATTTCACGCCCTCCTTCCAGAATGTGCAAACAAAACAGATTTGACATAAAATTTAGCTATGAGTATACATTTTTTTATAGTTTAGTATATATTATTCAATGCATTTAATTTAAAAAAACTGTAATAAAATATACGCTCTGAATTCTACAGCACTGTAAGACAACTAAACTGCCTCAACCAAGCAAAGGATGTTAAAAATGTTTCTCCATATTTCGTTAAAAAGTTTTTCATACAAACAACAGGCCCCCCCTCAGAAAACCACTCATGCCCCTCCAGGGGGGCACCCCACACTTTGGGAACCTCTGGCCTAGCCTATAGATAAACCCAATAGGGTCAGGAGCATCTTTACTACTTCGCTTGTGAGACCTCAGATATGTTACAGGAAAACGAAAAACTGGCACTGGCATTAAGGCTTATTAGTTCGCAGTCGATGGAGTCTGGTATAATCGCACGCGCTGTCGACATTCGTTTAACTTATCGAAACCCGAAGCTCTTGTAAATAATATTTAAAAATTCAGTTCGTACCTCAAACAAAACACAGAACCTCCATCACTAAAATAAATTGGTCGATACTGTTTAGGGAAATAATCACTGTTTATTTTTTTAAAAAAAAGAGAAAAAACAGAATGCAGAAAAGTGGTTAGATTTTTAAAACAGCGCACTTCGCGTGGAGTGGGATAAGCATAGTCATCTATCTGCTCAACAAAGCCCTGGCTTTACACAACCGGCCTGCTCATATTTCATCGCGGCAAGCGCCTTTTAATATCAATAGCAACACTGTGTAGCTTGCGTTCGAATCTTGACTGTACAATAACTATCCATTTATTACTGAAAGGATCCTAGCTAGCTAGGTTTCTTTAGCCTAGCAGGTAGCTTGAGTGTTTTATTCTGAACTAAAGGAAGACTTGGACATCATTCGGATATGCGTGGAGCCGGCCCCTTCTTGACAATCTGATACTTTCGACTAGTCAAGGAATTTCACGTCTCTTAAAGTTTGTTATTTCATTCACAATAGTCTTCATCTGACAATAGAATCCAGCCAGTACCCAAGTGGTCTCATCTCAAAAGGCTTTCCGACTAAAATTATTTTATTATGTTTATTTTAAAAATCTCCCAAACAGGATACATGTTCAGTCCATCACAATCTTCTTGATTTGATCACCTCAACATCTGGTTGAAAGTACAAATTAAGGAGTTCACCACGTTTAGTGACGAAGTTGAATGCAAATGTCACTTCCCGGGTCCCGGCACGAGCTGATGTTATTTTTTGTGGAACGAAAGACTGATGACAAACAAACAAAACTTGACTTGTATGAGAAACTATCTTCAACTGAGGAATACAAGTGAAACGATACCGATAAGCCTGTTTACATGTACTCGCTCAATGACGAAGTTTTACATGTAGTAAGCATTTTTACCGATTGATTTCAGAGATGGCAGCACAATGCGCTACACGCTACGTTGCAAATTATTCATTTTTGTACGTCCGTGGAACACAGAGGTTGTTATCCGTTTTGGCTACTTGCAGGACCACCGAGGATATCCGCATATTTTACTGGTATTCTGTGATCTATACTGTGTTAGATAATAGCGTGCAATGCTACATTAGGCGGAATGGGGGGGGGGGTGACACATTTACACACCGTGCATGATATATATATTACTATTGTTCTGCTGAAAGACTCGTGACATCTATAAGCGCCTATAAATTTTCCACAATTATGTAATACATTTTATGACACAAGAAAATAACAGTTTGCTGATACTTCTAAATTCTACTTAAAAGCGTCAGAGACCAGAGGTTGAAACTTGGGGAAATCCCAAAGTTCACTTCGGTGACTCATCAGTTGTTATCTCCAAATATGTTATTTATTGCTGTTGTCACTTATAACTGATGAGAACAATACAATTAAATACAGTTAATTTAATTAATATTAAAATGTCAAATGGTCTGATATCATTATCTTTATACCAAGGTGTATGAAAGACAGACAGTAATTTCAAAAGTTAATAACACACATGTTGAGACCATTAATATATCTCTTTTTATAATATGTGTGAAGTAAGTTAATGATCAGACTTTTAATAACAGAGATTAATTCTGTAGTATAAGATAAATAATGACTGTAGACTTTGGGGCCGAGTGTAGTGAATGGTTTGCTTCAGTCTGAACATAACCTCATAGTGTGTTTGAGGTACTGAATTATTTAAAGTTTTTACCAGAAGTCTTCATCGTTGACTGTTCTGGCTAGTGTCTGATGTGATTTTCATGCTTGAGCCACATAACTATTTGAGGGGCCAGAGCATGAAAACTAACATGAAATGTGCTACCATATTTTATAAATTATTTGATTGTAACTAGGTAATGTTTTATGATACAGGATTCTTGTTATTTTTCAGGATAGGATGTTTCTTGACACTTGAGAATCTTTAAGAGTGAACACATTTTGAGGGCTTGTGTTGCTTGTATTCACAGTATTCAATTTTATAGAAGGAAAAATTGTCATATTAATACATAGAACTTTTGTTTCAGGATGTAATGGGAGTATAACTGCCTGTAATGTATGGTTTGTTACGTGATTTATTTGTCTGAAAGAGTCAATTGAGTTTGTTGCCTGCAGTCCAAGAAGTTATTTTCCCTATGGTGTGTGTCCAGGAAAGTGAATAAGAAGGTGCACAGGTTTTATCTGAACCAAGGAACTTGCATCCATTATTCCCAAACAAGATACAAAGATCTAAACACTTGTGAGACATTTCCAAATACTGAACCTTTAAAACAAAAAAATGACATGTCTAAAGTATGTTAAGTTAGACATTATTGTCTTCTGAACAAAAGACTGGGCTAGAATCATATGCATGCGTGTTAGTACTAGATATGTCAGTTAAACAAGATTCAGTTTCTGTTCAGATTGACAAAACTCCACTTAATGTTCAGGTGTTGAGAGGAAGAACAGGCAACATTGTTAAAGTTTTGTCTGACAGAACAGCTGTTTTCAGGGATAAGGTATATGGCGATGTTACATTTACTGAGGATGAAGTTAAATTCTCTGTAGTACAGAAAGGGAGTGGTTTTAGAAGTTACTTTCCTGAAGGCAGAGTGGTTTATTTTGACATTGAGGTTGATGATGTGAGAAACGTTAAATGTATCAATATTTGGGTGTCGAGAAAGCAGGAATCGAACTCAAGTTCTCAACCCATTTCCTACACACATCACACAGCAAAACTTATTGATCATACAGTGTATAGAGGAACAGTAATCAAAATGCGATGTCCATTTGCCTTTGTGGTGGAAATAGATGACTCTAAGAATCTTGTCTTTGTGTTCAACCAAGCCTTTAAGCCCAACCAGCACGCAGGAAAACTGCGTAGAGATGAACCTGTCAGCCTTTATGTGTCTAAGGGGGATACGGTATATGTAAAAGTATATAAAAATACATCAGGAAAAGAGTTTGAGTGGTCGGCATGGGATGCATGGATGGAAGGTGATGATGCTTTGTTGTCAAGTACGAGCTCTAAAAAAAAGAAACAGCAACGTAAGAGAACTCGTAAGTCAGAGGGAAAAACTTGCACTATGAAAGGCCAACTGGGCTTTGTGGGCATTGAAGCTGCACATCTTGTAAGTGCAGAGTGTAATGATACAGTGTTCTTTCATCGTGACGTTGCATTCCTGTTTGGAGTACCCATGAAGGGGTTGAGGTTGGATCAGATTTTCAGAACAGGTATGATTTTCACTCTTAAATATGAGCATGATAATAATATTCTCAAACAAAAGTCTTTTCATTTTATATGTAATAAATTTCTATTGAGTTATATTATAATTTGTCTGCGTGTAAAAGTTAAATGCATTTTAGTTCCTTAAATTAGGCCAGGACTGTTTTCTTCCATATCCTTTCCAATTCATTATTCATTGATCATTATATCATTCAGCACTATGTAGGCAGAAATGAAACTTTCTTCTTCTCTTCTGCTATCCAGAAACACGAAGGTTAAAATATACAAAATTATAATTTTGCAAGCTTTTATATAAAATAAGCAACAAACAACTATTAACACTATAAAAAAGACATTATTTATAATGTTAATAGTTGTTTGTTGCTTATTTTATATTCTAATACATTACACGGTATGCAAAGTTTTAAGATTAATGTTTTTTATGGATATGAAATTTGGTCTCAGGTTAAGGGGAGGTGTTTAAGAACAGGGTGCTTAAGAGAATGTTTGAACCCAACAGGGATGAAGTGACAGGAGGGTCTTGATGAACTACTGAATTATCAGTTGACTCCAGATGTTAATAACAATGGGACCTATACAAACTAACACTAGCCAGAATCTCAGTAATGGTGGTTCAGAAAAATATGTATTTATGTATATGATTGCCTCTAAATCAGAGTCTGTCTATTATTAAGAGCTGGAAATTACCTGTACAGTATTGGTATTTTACAGGTGAAGAAATGAGTTTCCTGTTATCAGAGGATGTTAAAAGTGAAGCATCGTGTGTTTGGTTTGGCTCACGTGATTCTGTCAGCCTGAGCCTGAGAGAGAGAACAAACTGTATAATGAAGTATTGCTTTAGGCATTGACCCATTGGTTTTGACAACAATCGTAAGTATATACATTTGGAAATCTTCCCATTAATTTAGACTCATGGTTCTTACAGCAGTGAATATGTCAACTTGGTTGTCTTGTTGAGTAGTCTTATAGGTCATTACCAACATTTCAGAGGAATGTTTTAACTACTTACAAGATTACAGAGTGTTAACCTGTGAGACCTTATTCAACAGTCTTATTAAGTTATTAATTCTTGGTTTATTTTTGTTATGGTTTTCAACTCTATTCTTTGGGGACATTAAATTATATCGACAGTAAACTATAAATATCAACAGCTGTTTCTGACTGTAACTCAACTGAAGTGAGCAGTTTTGTATTCATGTCTATTGATCACTGCAGTATAAAATTACTGACATCACAAAACAATGTATGAGCATGACTTTCTGTATGAAACTTAGAAAGATGGCCACAGGACCTATAAATTTCTTAAATTTGCATTTGAGCAAAAAACTCTGAGCTACACTGAACATTTGTGTGGTTTGTTGTAGTTTTGAAGAAGACTGTGTTCTTGGTTGTCGCACCATATAGTATGGTAGACGTTTACTGACATTTTAGAGCTGCTTGCTGCCTCCATCATCAGGATGATCGTCCTGATGAAGGAAGCAGCAGCCACCTCTGTAACATCAGTAACCAGGGAAATTAATTCATTTAAAATTGGTCTAAATATGGTTTAGAAAACAAATAATGAAGTGGAATATTTTACAAAAGCATATCAAGCAACACTTCACAGGAGATGAACTCTGCACTTAGCTATTGATCCGATGGTCCTGTGGCCGTAGCTGGTCTGCAGCGAACTGTTGTCGCGTTGTCCGTACCTGTGAACTCCAACGAAGCGTGAGTGTTACTCCTGTGAAGCCAACATCTAGTGTAGTGTTGCTTGATATACTTTTGTAAAATATTACACTTAATTATTTGTTTTCTAAACCATATTTAGACCAATTTTAAACTATTTTGATTAAATGAATTAATTTCCCAGTTGCCACTGATGATGACCTCTTGAGGTTGAAACGCGTATGGCAATAGTGTCTTTTTTATAGTGTTTAATAGTTTGTTTGTTTGCTTATTTTATATTCTAATACACTACACGATATGCAAAGTTTTAAGTTTGAAGGTTGAGATACATTAAATCAATGATGAATATCATACATATAATTAATTGTACTAATGTTCTTTAAGTCTATAAATCATGTTAACTTATTACATATTTTCATTTATTGGCGATGCTATGCAGTGTTGTGCTGTGTTTCAGGTTCAGGAACTTGGCAAACAGCGGTTACCTGATGAAGGTAAACAGCAATTTGAAGATGAAGAGGAAATATATGATTCGTACAGTACTAGGGTATTAAATGAATTTGCAGCAGTAACACTTTCTCAGAAAGAATTAAGTGGTTCCACTGCAAGTAAATTTGATGCTAACCAAGTGGTTAGTAGTGATACCACTGAACAAAGCACTTTATCTGCAACCACAGCAACAAGTAATATAGTTCAAGGTTCAGCACTAAACATCAGTGCTATAACACCTGCAACCAAAGAAAGGAGCTTTGTTGCTATTACTAAGCAAAATATGACTGCAAATCAAGAAACAAAGTGTATAGTGACGACAGCATTAAGTACTTCCTCAGTGACAGCTTCAAAACAAATCATTGGTATTGCCACAGCTGCAACCAAAAAAAGCGATTCTGTGGTTACAGCAACTACAGCCGCAGCAGTTGCAAATTTTGAAAATGAAAATAATTTTACTGTGACAGCAGCTAGCAAAACATTTATGGATTCAACAGAAGATGCTAAAATAATTACAAATTTTTTGGAACCAAAAAGTGAAGTTAAAACAGATTCTTTGAAAGATAACAGTAACGCAAACAAGAGGACCGTGACCCAAACTACCAAAGCACATTATGAAGTGAAAAATAGCACAGCAGCTTCTATCAGTGAAAAGACTGACTCTAAAAGTCATGATCACAGGCACATGGATTTGCGTAAAATACGCTCTCAGTCATGTGTTTCTGATACGGAATCAGAAATACTGTGTGGTAATGAGTCAGAATTTCATATGTCTCTGATTAACACAGATATAGAATACAATTTGGAGGTGTCTCTTCTGACAGTTCTTAAGAAAGAAGTAGGAGAATCAGCGTCACTGATTCTGACACCTCATGTGATTGGGTGCTTCAAAAAAGAATTGAATTGCGTGGTACATGAGCTTATGATGAAAGCCATCTCCTCTGTTGTAGATAATATAACTGAACACTGCAACCAAGATGAAAATGTGCTTTGCGAAAGTGCAACAGAAGTAACAAAGATCAGTAACATGGCTCAAAAGTGGAAGAAAGAACTGATGTTGATTGCAGACAAACAGAGGGCAGAAAAAGAAAATGAAATGGCAACATTACTGGATAGGGCCCACAAATACAGGAAAAGAATGTCTGTATTGTGCCTCAGTGATAAGGTATCGCAGAGCAACTGTGAAGAAAGTAATGGTAACAGTTGCATCATTAATAATGGTGATAAGAATGAAAGTTACGTTAATGATAGCATAAATTTTGTTCCTGATGGTTATGGTGATGGTACAACAGAAAAGAGTAGTTTAGTTGGAATTGTGCAGGACTTCCTGCTGTTACAAAATACAACCGACTCTCATATGGTGGGAACTCAGAAATGCGTTTCAGACCAAGAGACACAGACTATTTCAACTGGTTCTGTCCTTTATTTAAAACACCTTCCTGATTTGTAGCCATGGGACTGTTCTTCAGGATAATATATTATTTTATTTAAAGCAGTTTCTCTCAACTGGTGGTCCATGGTCTAATGCTGGCCCACAGCCCATCCTTAAATCCTATAGTACATGTTTAACATTATGTTCTGAAGTGCTACAGGGCTTCACCTGTTTGACGATGCTGTGTGTGTTATTGGCTGTGTCCACAATGCCTCTTATAATAAATATTAAAATGCTGCTTCTTCTTGGACCTTTCCGTAGTTGTTTGGTGCAATTGGATATCATGATTATTCAGGAGTATGAGGCTGTGTTGCAATGTATTGTAATGATTGAAAGCAAAGGTTGATAATGATGAATAATAAGTTGGGTTTGAAGATTTCCGTCTTCTGGGTTGTTGCGCTGTGTAGTCTGGTCGATGTTTACCAACGTTTCATAGATGATGGAGGCAATCTTCATACTCACCGCTGTGAAAACCTCAAATCTTACAAGTTGGGTTTGAATTGAGGAGTTTCACTTTAATATCCTGTTGCAGTTTTGATGGACTATGTCTGGAACACCAACATAGATTAATCTTAACATATTCTATTAACTTAAGTGACCAAAGAAATCAATTTAAAATAACTTTTCATTACAAGGTGAACTGAAATCACAAAATTCCTCATTGTAAATTATCTTAAATTATTCACTTACTTAATCTTTCTTAGGTCCAGATATTTTTCTGGTAACTTTGATTCAGGCACGTGAAATTTGCCATATTTTCATAAATATAAGTCACATCTTTTTCCAAGCTTGGATTGGACCAACTGTTTTACTTTCAAGTTTTTGTATATAGTGATTGCAGAGATATTAAAATAAATTACAAGTTTGTTGAATCATTGTGTGTTGAAAAATACGTTTTTAGAAGTTTATAGTCACTCTGATGGTTAAGAAACACCCTGTCATTTATGGAACCTAAATCTTCACACGAACTTGATACTGGATCCAATTCCACATCAGTAAAATACAGTTCATACTGTGTATCACGTCTCCCACCTCATATTTGTTCATTAGTGTAGGAACGTGAATGTTGAATGACCAACTGACCTTCCTATTGAGTTTCACAAAAATGTGTACATTCATACAAAAGGGAGGGAAAGCATGTAGCTTGTACTGACCTAAAATTATGCATTTTTTCTCCGTTCAGAAACCAGTCTTAAAAAAGTCACGATTTGTAAAGTAACCATGACACATATTTTTCACATCAAAGGAAAATCAGGTTTTATATATACGTTCCTGTAATTAGGCTAAGGTCGTGCTCTCATACTTGCTTATGATCTGTTACAGTGAGCGCGAAAAACGTTCAAATAAGGTAACGAGTAGCACTTTTTCTATTCTGTGCCGGCATGTTTTGGAGGGAAGGAGATCGAAGTCAGAAAAAGATGGCGAGGGACGAAGATACGAAATAAATCATTTTCCTCTGAATTGCAACGGGCTTTTCACACTAGTCAGTGGGAAACGGTTCGTTTTACATTTTCTCCTGTCTATTATTCCACTACTATTCTGTATTAAGTCATGTAACATCTGAGGATGTCACAGTCAAAGTTCCACCTCTTCCCACGTTTCGTTTACACCGCGGACAGAAATAGACAAATTTGCGGTGGCCAGCTTGTTCGGGAACGAGGAAAACTCTGTTATTTCCCCCACCCAGGGTTCATGAGATCAACGACTCGCCCAAACGTGAATTATGCCGTACTTTGTAAAGCATTTAAATTTAGTCCAGATAAGACGGTTGACTTATCTTTAATGTGAAAGAGCTAAGAAAACCCGGCTCTAGTTCGCAGTATTACAGGAGAGAAATCTCACGTGATTCCTTCCCTTCAGGTTTTTCCGACTACAAATTTAACATGGATTTATTTGTACCATGCGTGCTACATGTCCCACCCATCTTATCTTCGATTTGAACCCCATAATAATACTGGACGAGGAGTAAAAATTATTATACTCTTCATCATGCAGATATTTTTCCTATCATAAATATTCTCCTTAGCATCCTGTTTTCAATTGCCGTCAATCTGTGATCGGCAAGTAAGGTGAGAGACCTAGTCGAAACGCTCTTACAAAACAACAGGCACATTATTTGTTTATGTACCAGTGTTTTAATCTTACGTTTTTGGATAGGAAACCGAAAGTCTGAAGGAAGTGGTAGTAAACATTCTCGGAACTTCATTTTTAAAAATTTAAGTTGCAATTCTATGCTTTCTTCTCCATAGCACAGCGCTTTATGAGAGAAGTACGTATATGTTTGTAACGCCCGGTTAGGCAGGTGTATCGTGAGTAACGACAGAAGGGTGAATCAGAAGAATTTAGAAGGGAGAAGGAAGGGTCAATACTAGGCAGCAATGACGAACCGGTCCAGGGGAGGTGGATGCGTGTTGGGTCTGGGACGCACGTGCTGCTAACACACAAGGCATCACGATTTCTTTCGTCTTGGAAGGAACCACCCTGTCTCACCTCCGCCCAGTCTATCTTTAGCTCAAGACATGTAGGATCGGATCGGGCCAGCTCATTCAAACCGACTTTAGTATCTATTCTGCTTCCTGTAAGTGCAGTTGGTAGCACAGGCAAATACAGTGAGTTTTGGCAACACTGATAACGTGTACTTCCGGTTGGAAGCTCGATCGTACAGCTGTCTGAAGACTAGAAATTTTGTTTGTTTATAATGTTGTGACTAAACAACTATTTGTTTTTGTGCCAGATGAATGGAGGAAATCATATATATATCGTTTCAGTTAAAGCAATATAGAATCTTTTCTCCGTCTTCCATATATTGTTATTTCGGCGTCGCCTTGTAAATCGTCTGACAGCTACCTCCGTTATGAAGTGAAATTTAATACGTGCGCGCGAAAATTGAGTGCTGCTGAAAATTGCTAGTTGAGCTATAATGGGGCAATCAACGCTGGTTGAATGGTAAAGTTAAATATACAAAATGTTTTGACTACGAATGTGGTTAGGGTTTTGTGTCATAGAAGTGCTTCATATACCATATATTTATTGCATGTACAAATGATTTTGAATCTTTGAAGCTGTTGATATGATCACTTGTGTATGTTCTGCGTTGTTTCTTCAAATTTAGGCTGTGAATTTTATATTTAATCTCTGTATTCCACCTGTGTTTTGTATTTAACACAATTATTATGTCTATATATGTAATTACTAGCACTAGAGCTGTCGATTTGTGATATAACGCATTTAAATTACGTATTTTAGTTAGTTGCTTATGATAGGCGACGTTTCAAACTTCACTATTTGTTGAAAATCATCTCACTATTTTACACTTACATTATTTATTTTTATGACATCATATAGTTTGCAACACACTCCTGCCCTCTTGGTTTGTTATTGACATACGTTAAATATTATAATTCGTACATTAATACTTGACTTTATCTTTTCGGAAATCAGGCGAACTGAAAACAAAGAAATTGTGAAATTCAGCCAATACAGAAAGTTGCTTAAGTGAAGTAATTTTTATGTTTTACATCAAAGGTGATATTTTAGAATATTTTAATTTTTCTTGCATTGGAAAGATTACCATATCCAAAATTAGTTATTAACATACAAGCGGTGTAATATGGTAAGAACGAATACAATTTTCAATTTTCCTTCACTAGTAGCAATAATTGTGTAGCTAATTAAATGTTTAATCTCATGAAATGTGATTACCAAATCTGAAAATGTTGCCAGATAGTCCTATTTCTGTTTTCATGTTTTATCTCGGTAAAGGCATCGGTTCGTCAGACAATTTCTCTGTTATTTAAATAATTAAAGGTAAAGAAAGTGAAGTCAATTCCACTGTGCTTAAGCATCACAAATTAAATGCTTGTAGGGGCGAGTAAGTACAGATCTTGGTATCGTAACTGCGGCACTAGATATAGTTTTGTGGTTAGATTCACCCTCCTGCTGTTTTACCCTTTGGGAGAATCCCTGATACGCAATAGAAGTGTTTCTACTCCACAGACATTCTGGATGCTGTGTCGAAATGCTCTGCCAATACTCGTAATGAAACTCCGCGTATCCGCCCTGTACTCAGTCACTTTAATAACATAGCTTAAAACTTTACCTTTAATATTCTTTGCTAATCTTGACTGCAGCTGAAGATATGTGAGCAAGTCTCAGTAAATAATTGATTTTAAAAAAGACTCTTATAGACTCTGCTACCACAAGCAGAAGCTGTGTTTGTACTGCATACGGATTTTCGGCGCTAATTTAAACACTGCTAGAAAAGGCAGACGGAGCGCACGGAAATAGACACGCGACGGCAGTATTGTATGGCGCCAGACCCACGTGTATTAGCAGAACTGAAGGTTGCTGTGGTTTTAAAACTTCCTGTACTTGTGTTCCATTGTACCCACGCAAGAAAATCAAAATGAATGGATAGAGCTAAGTCATGCTTTACCTCTTTGGTTGAGGTTGTGAACTTGGAACCTGCGGTCGAATGCGCATGACTGGCAGATTGCGTCCAGTGCTTGAATTTGGCTTACACAAGAAAGTAAGTCACCTACTTACTTGGTTCGCGAACAATACGTAGGATTTCTGAGAGTTATTATTTATTCCATTCTTTTATAAAAAATAAATTCATGTAAATCGGGAAATAGCATACCTATTGGTAATAAACATTATGCTTATTTGATGAGTAACTTTGTTATTTAATAATTTTACAACTCTGTATAAACCGACTTTATACATAGCGTCGATTATGTAGGTTTAAAATATTACCATTTTATCCTGTGTTATCCAGCTTTGGTGCCCACCCAGACTCCTATCCATTGAGTACCAGGGCTTTTCCACCGGAGTAAAGAGAGTGGAATGTGAAGCTGACCTCTCACCTATATCTTGTGTCCAGTTTAAGAAAGCGTGTAGCTCTACCTCGACTTACTCGACATGCCTTGGTGGCGTTGTTCTAAAGTTCAGGGAAAACTTAACTGATACTCGTTTTTGCGCAAAATGCATAGAATGGACGCATAACGCGGCTTCCTGTCCGTCCATTAGTTTTCAAATCGAAATTTGTCGAAATTCTCTATAACGATTTATCGGACAAATGATTGGTGGATGACATAAACCGCACGTTTAATGAAGTTCTACAGATTTCATTCGATGCATTTTCGGTATGGCGAATATTTAAATAAATATAAATAATTTCTGACTCATGCAATACCAAATAATTTGTGATACAACATCGTAGTAATATTATCGTATATATAGTTAGAGATTTTTATCTGCAATAAATGAACATCAATACTAATTATGATCGAAAAGAACAAATTTGAAAATTCACGGGTAGGCCAACTCCAAAATGGAGTAGGATTGTAAGTTTCCTCTCGTTTTATTTATAACGGAATAAAGTTGTCTTTAGACAGGAAGTCCACACAGTTCCACACCCTTTATCGAGCCACATTTCTGACACAGTTTTATTTTGATCTTTTTATATAGTCTATAAAACTCAGCTTCGGTCTACTTTTACGGAGCTAAATTTACATCAAACATGCGCCACCCTTGGGATCACCCCTTAGTGTTGTGCTGAGAATTGGTTATATAAAAAGACAGTTAATTATTTTCGGTCTTCCTGCCATCACAAACGAGGCCTTTTCTCCTAGCGAAGAAATGACTTGGTCTCTATTCCAGCCACTCGACCTCCCATTCAAGACAATGTACAATGATTCAATGATTCACTTTCCTTGTAAGCTTTTTCATAATTAACAACAGGCTTTTGCAGCTATGTTTTGTGCATTTATGATGAAAGTTATGAAAATATGTTGGCCTCTGTACTTGTAGGTTAAAGAGGTACAGGGGTTTGAGATTTTTAAGGTATAAGAATAAGGTTTGTGATCTTTTAGGAAAAGTCTATTATGTATGTGAATTATACGTGTTTGGTCAACGAAAATATATATTAATGAGATTAAAATTATAATAATTTTGAAGTTGCATTATTTTAGTGCAGTTTATTTTGAGAAAATCCAAAGCGAAGTACAAGCGCTTCTTCTTTTATTATTATAATATAATAGGCTGACATAATTAAATTAAATTCAATTAACTATAATAATAATAATTCAATTCATTTATTTAAGTGCTTGACAACAGCCAAAAAGGCCAATAACAGCCAAGCACTAAACCAGAGTACAGGATAAAATTTAATAAGTAATTAATTTATTTCAATAATAATAAAAGTAAAACAAATGAAACTAAATATATAAATGTACCATATTATTAATATTAATAATAATAATAATAATAGGCTTAAGAGGACGCTATATTGTGAAATTAAATTACGCCCAAGCGACATTGCATTCCACGCAAATATATAATATATAATACCAGTTGTTCATATATAAAATGAATTTTCATTAGATGATCTACCAGAAAAATAGTTTCACGGCCCTTTTTAAGCCACGGTCCGCAGACTGGGAACTACTGCTCCATACTTTATAGAACAGGTGAAATGTGAAGCATATCATAATGCAGTGCAATCAAGTGAGAATAGTGTTGTGATTTTTTTTAAATTGTGACAACATTGTTGTGCGTGTGCCAAATTCTGTAGATGAAAATAATCCAGTGTAAGAGTGATGGCGTGCATCCGGGCTGTGAGGTCGCCCCAAGGTTCGACGGACGATCTCCTCAGGCAGCAGGCCGCAGTACCGAAGAAGCACATGCCAATCATTCAGGTAATAACAACTCAGTAGTAGATAGGATGTAACAGAAGGCTGGAGAAATGCCACAGGACGGTTCCGGGGTAAATGTGTAAGACTACCAAAAGTTCAGGACACGAAAAAGAATTTTCCGGAAGTTCTAAGAAGATATGTTTATTGATTTTCCAAACATTTACAGAAATATTATTATATAAATTACACAAGAACTTATGGCTAAGTGATAGCTTTGCTAAATTAGATATAATATTAAAAATGGACTACAGGTAACAATCATACTTAAGCCTGCGAATGATTTTCTTGCTTAAAGGGCCTGTTTTATGGATTGTAGCGTCATGTAGTCTGGTAGAAGTTCGCCAGCGTTTCAGTGTGATTATCGCCCTGATGATGGAGGCAGCATGGTCCTCCGAAACGCTGGTGAACTTCTACCAGACTACACGGCGCTACAACCCAGGAAACGGCCATTTTCGGACTCACCGCTGTGAAAACCTCAAATCCTACTTTTACTCTTGCTTGTTAAAGGAAAGGAGTATGAGATGAGTGGGGCATGTAGCATGCACGGGATTGATGAGAAATACATACGGAATTTTGGTTAAGAAACGTGAACAGATTAGACGAGCTTTGATGTCAGCATAAATTTGGTTTAGGATAATGGAGGGTTTCTTTGTAGGTGTACACAGACTGGGCGAATCACTACCTGTGCAGAACTCGTAGCAAGCGGTTGATTCATGATCTGCAGACTGACGTGTGTGACGGGGTGCTGCTGGCCGACATCATTGAAGCTGTCAGTAAGTATCGTTTGTCGAGAAACAATCCTTATCTCTTCCTTTTCCTCACTCTCTTCCTCCTTTATTTCGGTACTTGTTTCTTTCTTTCCTTCCACCAGTTCTTCCATCTTTATCTTTTCTCCATTCTTACCATTTCCATCCTCCCTCATATGACGTGCATTCTCAGACATTAAATGCAGATCAGAGTTCTACTACAATTCATGTGGTGGTGTTGACTCGTTTGCAGGGAGAGAGACTATCAAGTCTGCTTTCCCTTATTAGGCCCCATGAATGAACGTGATACATTTGAAATTAATTAATTACCGATTAAGTTCTTTTTGCTAACACCGACCCTCGCCACCTGTGAATTATCAGCATAAAATCAGATATTCTCACCTTAATCACGTTGGAACTTGAAGATGGCTGTGTTCTGGGTTTAGCGCCGTGCAGTCTGCTAAAAGTCCACCAACGTTTTAGAAGTCCTTGCTGCCTCCATCATCAGGGCGATTATCGCTCTGATAGCCGTCTTCGTACTCACCATCGTGATAATCATAAATCCTACGTTGGAACTTGCAAACGCACGTGCATACATGTCTACGTAACGTCACGTATTTGGCTAAAATCGTTAAGAGAACTGGTTTACGTCTGTGTGTCGTGCGATGGAATATTTCATGTTTCTATTCAGACGTTCCAAAGGTGTTCCTTACTTCACTCTAGGTGGATCGAAAATGAAATATTTCTTGTTGCTGCTGAGAGTTTGCGACCTGACAGCGATTAGTTCATTGATATAGCTATAGAATAAGTGTGAAATATGGTTTACGTGTTAACCATTACAAAAATGGGAACGGTTTGAATTTTAAGTTCATATTTGATTTTTTAAAGTAGTCGAAGTTTACGTCTATTTTATTGGAAATTACTAATTAAATTGTATGATTATTTCTTTCTTTACCGCGCAGACTGGACCATTTTAAGAAATGTCGTTGCCGTAAATTCTCCCAACTCTTTGTTAGTTACGAGAGCATTAAACAAATCGTCTGGAAATTTCTAAAGAGCACGGAAAACACTTGTAATTTTTCTTCACTGGTTTTACATTTGAATTTTCCAGATGTTAGATGTTTCCAGTGAACTATTAATTTTCAGAAACTAAAGATTTGTGCATAATAAATATTCTGTGTACCGAAATAAATTATCGCAATAATGGCTTTAATAAAGCCAAATCCACCATTTTGACCCCGTGACTTTAAAGTTATATGACTTCTCTGTTACAGCCAGTCACGGTGTCCCCAATATAAATCAGAAACCGAAGACTTCGTCTCAGATGGTAAGTTGACAAAACATCTTGCTGTTCCTAATTTTTTAAAGCCATCACTGCATGACATGTGGACGTGATACTTAAATTAATTTGAGTCGTGAGAATAGATACGGTTGCTTAAGAAGTGAGGTTATGTTATCTGCGCCATCAATTACGGACCAGAGTTTTTCAGTACAGGTTTACAATAACACTGCAAATGCAGTACAGACATGTAGAGCGGTTTGAACGTGCTGGAAGTCAAGTCATAATTCGTGTTGCTTTGCACCTTATACTCTGTTCATACGTGAGATTATCTCTGCGGCCGTGATATCGCACGGGTTCACTGCCCGTAAGTTATTGTGTAGTATAACAATTCAGTTTAAACAAGACTGGGAGGTGCCGATGTTGGTCTTTTACGATGGATGGAACGCCTTATGGACTTGTAGGTATACACGGAGTTAGTTAGCTAGGTGGTTATTGTCTTCCGGTGAACGAAAAAGCTTGTTTGGTCACTATAATAATTTGTAGGT